ATAAGACCACACACACAGCCATAATGAACAAGGAAATACCACCAGAGCAACTAATCCATCCCATAGTAAGGAGAGGGTCAGAATAAGCAAAGAAATCAATAACTCTTATCGATTGCCTATTCTTTTTCTTTTTCGAATATTCTCTTCTGCTATAAAGCAGTAATTAAGCTGAATAAAGGTTGAGCCTATTTCATGAAGCAATTCAGTTTTGAAATTTGGTCACTTTTAGTCTATTAATTGCCTTCCACACAGAGTAATGCTAAACTACATTCAAGATCACAAAGAGATTAACACAAAAAGCAAATTGATTTCTGTAGCATACTCTATACATCAATTCCCTGAAAATTGATTGGCACTAAATTACAATAAAAAAATCATTTATGTAAACGAAAATAGACCTCCAACTCCTGAAGCAAGTAGGGAATCCCCTTACTCATATACAACGGGGAGAGTCACTTGTTTGTTCTTAGCACTCTTTTAAGTTGTTTTACTTTGTTTTATGTTTGATAAGTTTGTGTGTTTGTTCTCTATTGTTTAGCTACTGTTTGGTTTTTCAAAAAGAAACATATCTGTTTGATTCTCTTGTGTGCTTGGAATAGTCTGTTATCGTGTTTCGGTTCAGTTCTGGGCTAGTAAATACATTTGAGTAAGTTGAGCAGCTGAGGTATGTTCTCTTGACCTCACTTGTACTATCTGTTTTCTAAAATATGGAATCCTGCGCTGAATACTCTGCCCTTTCCAAATCTGATCAAGAAAGAGCACTGCAAGTGTGTAGGATATTTCAAATATGTGATTATTTTGATGAAATGAAAAAAGAAGAGCTTAAGTGTGAAATTTGTTTAGTGGAAGGACATAGCACTCAACAGTGCAAATACTTTGCTTATTCTTATTTGAGTGTTCGTATATGTGATCAAACTTGTGGTTTCACTAATCCTAACATGAACCAACCGCAATTGTTGAGGAGGGACATATTCAACAAGGTATTGGCAATTACATCAACATCACTAGGATTTTAAAATAGTGTAGCGACCTCAATTATAAATTTTCCAAACCAGTAAAGGTATAGAAATTTAACGACCCTATGTTTTTGAAATATTTCTGGTTATCAAGCAGAACCAAGCCACAAAATTCAACATCAATTTTGATTAATCAAACCAGAAAAGTCAGCTTAATTAATCACAAATAAAATAGAAGTAAATAAATTTTCAGGCTGAGGTAAACCCTAAATTTTTAAAACTTGCCAATTCAATTTCAATTAAGCATTATCAATCAGATGTAAACCTAAATCTTAGAAATTTCAAAATCTAAATTAAATAAGGGGACCTGAAATAGAAATTAAAATCAAACATAGAAGAATTGAGGCTTTAAAAACTGAAAGTAAAAGTTGTGTTTCCCCAAAAGAAAAAATTGGAAGCTCAAATATCAAAACAGAGCAATAACTAAATCAAAATCTAAATTGGACACTACATGTTATTAAGAATCAAGAACACAAAGAGGTAGAAAAAGAGGAAGGAGACGAAGAAGAGACACGCAAAAGGAGACACCTATTTCAGTTGCAACGAAAAAATTCACGGAAACACCTATTTCAGTTGCAGCGCCGATGTGTCTCTGTTACGGACCAAATGGACGAAGATGAGGGAACCATTTGGTCTATAAACCCCACATCAATTGCCCATACAACCGATGTGGGACAAGTCCCATACCTTGCAATGGTTTCAGTCCATAACATTTTGTGCATCAGTCTCACGAAAAAACTGGGACGGAGTAAAACGGCTGAAGGGTTGGGGCAGCTGTGATAAACGGAGACGGAGAAAAACGGCGAATGGGGGTTGGGGGAGTTTTAACGAAGCAAAACTATGGGCCTTTTAGCAATTTCAGAAACTTAATTGATGTGGAAAATATTAATATGACTCATGCCCATTTATCCACATGGCATTCAATGGGTGGAGGGGCATGCATGCCCTCTCACTTTACAAGGGCACCGGAGAAATACCCAAATTTATAAAGTTCATTTGAAAACTCATTTTTTAATTTGATACCAGATTGGTCTCTATTCGGAACAATGTCGGGTCATTTTAAACAAAACTAAAATGTAAGGAGATAGCACCGGTTCATGAACTGGTTTTTTGCTTTTTATTTAATTTAACATTGTACTTGGATTTCTTAAACAAAACTAAAATGTAAAATTCTAAACTACAGTAATCCATACTATCAAATTATTCAAAATTTCAATATATTAAAGGAAAAATTATCTCAAATAATTCTACCTTTTCTCGTTCTTTCAAAAATAATCTCACTTTTCACTGTCACCAGAAATAATCTCACATTTTCGCATGTGTGCGAGTTTTGGGTCGCCATTAAAAAACTAACGGCCACTTAACGAAAGTTTTAGAAAATGCTTGTTTTTTCACAAATAAATAAAAGATGTGATTATTTTAGGAAAAATTACTTTTTACTTTTTTAATTTTAAATTTAAAATTAATATTTTTAAAAATATAACAATACACTCTTGTTAGAGATTTGTCTAACGATTAACAAATTTTGTTAAATGTTTTGGAAAAATATAATATTGAATTATTAAAAACAATTCAGAGTATCGATCAAGAAATAAATTACAATAAAAAAATTGTAGTGATTTATAAAATATATGGGTGCCGTTTCGGAAAAAAAAATATTATGTCATTCTCACAACTTTTGAATTACTATTTTAGGGGAAAATTTGTATTGAATTATAAAAAAATCACAAATTGGGTAGTTCCATTTTAGAAAGAAAATATTATTGGCAATATAAGATTATCAATAAATATTTCAGAGTGTTCATGAAAAAATTGCAATACATCAGAAAATGTAGTGAGTTATAAAAAAAAGTTCTATTTTAGAGAAAAATAGTTGTGTTATTTTCACAACTATTGTAATGTTGTTTCACAAAAAATATTTATATAGAACTATCGAAAAATATTCATAAGTTTTATAGTGCCATTTTTTATGAAATAATAATAATAATAATAATAATAATATAATAATATAATATCAAAAATTAATTTGAAGTGCAGCTCAAAAAAAATACAGTAAATGCAACTTGCAAAAAAATGTAGTTAGTTATAAAGTTAATAAATTAGCTTGATAAAGCACGATGACGGACGACAGAGATAACCGGAGACGGAGTAGAACCCAACGAAAAAATTCACGGAAACACCTATTTCAGTTGCAGCGCCGATGTGTCTCTGTTACGGACACATCGTAACAGAGACAAGTCTGTTAGGTGAGGGAAACACCTAGTCTGATAGGTGAGGGAACCCATTTGGCCTAGTCAAAATCACACCCATTTGGCCAAGTCTTCGGATAATGCTTAATTGAAAAAATTCACGGAAACACCTAGTCTGATAGGTGAGGGAACCCATTTGGCCTATAAACCCCACATCAATTGCCCATACAACCGATGTGGGACAAGTCCCATACCTTGCAATGGTTTCAGTCCATAACATTTTGTGCATCAGTCTCACGAAAAAAACTGGGACGGAGTAAAACGGCAGAAGGGTTGGGGCAGCTGTGATAAACGGAGACGGAGAAAAACGGCGAATGGAGGTTGGGGGAGTTTTAACGAAGCAAAACTATGGGCCTTTTAGCAATTTCAGAAACTTAATTGATGTGGAAAATATTAATATGACTCATGCCTATTTATCCACATGGCATTCAATGGGTGGAGGGGCATGCATGCCCTCTCACTTTACAGGGCACCGGAGAAATACCCTACAAATTTTAATCCAAACCAAATTGAACCGTAACGTATTCAAAATACTACAGGATGACTTTGCAAAAATAAGAACAAAAAATTCTATACCAAACCATTATTACTGAAGGAATAATGCTTGGTTCACAAATAAAATGTTCACAAATTTCACAAACTTACTAATTTTGAACTTCAATAAATAAAATTAAATAGTCTACAATAATTTTAAAATGAAAAGTTAAACTATAAATAGTAAGTTTGTAAAGTTTGTGAATATCCTGTTTGTGAATAGAGTGCTCTTACTGAAGTGCTAAATTAATCAACTAATTTTACATTTTGGGTGGATAGAGTTAAGTACTACAGATATATCCTAGTAACATTATGCTCTACATGTGAGATTGTGTGTCTAAAATTATGTTTGGTTCAAGAAAATTGAAAGAGAAAATAAAAAAGAAGGAAAATATTTTTATTTGTTTGGTCAGATAGGAAAAAAAGAAAATAAAATAAGAAGACAAATAAATTAAAGCTCTATTCTTTGGGGTTGGAAAAATTAGCTTCCAACATCTCCCAGCAGAGTGCTTATGTAGTGCACCTTGGGTGCAAACCAATTTTGTGCACCTTCTTACATGTTTTTTTTTAAAAATTAAAATAAATGCTCATTTAGATAGTTACAATTTGCTTATTTCCCTTGTATTTAGGTCCACTATAAAATTTGCCCTTCCAGTGGACTAGTGGAGTTTCTTCCAACATTTTCTAGTTCCTTCCAACTCCTTTTGCTTTCTTCTAAAATGATTTTAAAAAAATATTTATATATGATCAATATAAAATAAAATTATATATCCAAATTTATAATCTATCAAGTCAAACACGACAAGGATGAGTTTTTTAATCTAAAATTAGATTTTTCTTATATATTTATTTAGGTGATTATTTTATACATTTTAATTCTTTCAACATTTTTTCAACTCTTTCCAATTTCTTCACTCATCCTCCTATATACAATGGTAAGAGGCTCTTAGGAATAGTGTTCCCGCCTTTTTCACCACCATCGATTGGGCCGGACCTTGCTGCTGGACTTGGGCCGACATTGGAGCTGAATTGGGCATGCCTCCATAAAGCAATGTAATAATGCTTTATGTGGAAGTGTGCCATATCAATGTTTTACATCTTATCAATTTAATAGTTAGATTTACAAAATCCAAGCATTTAATGTGCTTAAACTTACTTTCTTTTCCCAAATAATATATATACACCTCTTTCCATCCAAACCTACACCTCTTTCCATCCAAACCAGTGATATTAACATACGGAGTAAGCTTCATATATACCAAAAATATGGCTCAAAATTCCGAAAACAGGTCCATGTCAATGTTCACTCCAATTGCGGAACTCAACAGCGATAAGAATTCTTGGATTCTCATGTTGAGGGCTATTCGGGTTTACTTCGTTCCTAAATGGGCGAAAGGTGGAGATTCCATGGAGATCGTCTTTCACGATGAGCATGTAATGTATTCTACAAGTTATTACATTTGTTTTTTTTTTCAACCCAAAATTCATAATCTCATTTTGTATACTTTTTTAGGGGACTAGGATTCATGCACATCTTGCTCGGGGGGAAAAAGAGAAGTTTGAAAAGCAAATCATTGAGGGTGGTGTTTACGCCATTCGAAATGTTTTTGTCCATGACAACTATCAAAGGTTGAAAACTGCTAGCAATGATAAGCTCTTGGGTTTTTTCAAAAAGACCGAAGTGAAAACTTTAAATCGGAATAATTTCCCCCGGATGATGTTCGACTTGAAGCCATTTTTAATTCTTCAAAGTCAACCATGTTTGAATGATCAACTTCTCATTGGTAATATTTCTTACAACTTTTTTTTAGTCTTAAGCTTCTTTATGAAAATAATGTGTGGCCGAAACAAAATCTTTGTCCTTCAAACAAAATCCAGTATTGATACATTTACAAAATGACTTATGCCGAGACAGATTGCTTGACCAATTGCTTTTTTATACAATAATAATTAAAGTATAAAAACATTTACGAAATTATTGATGCATTTTATGATTCGAAAGTATTGATGGATTTATGAAAGTATTTATACATTTTATGATTCGAATATTAATATACTTATATACATTTTGTACACATTTTATGCTTTAAAATGTGTACACAACAATATGCCGAGACAGATTGGTTAACCAATTGCACAATGAAATATGTACACAAATACATAACGACACAAACACATAATCATAACAAAATATACACATAGACAAATTTCATTGTGTATATTAACCAATTGCACAATGAAATATGTACACAAATACATAACGACACAAACACATAATCATAACAAAATATACACATAGACAAATTTCACATACACATGTACACAAATGCATAACGAAATATAAATGTGATCAATTATGGGAATAGCTAAGCAATTGCTTCAGGTATTAATTCTTACTATATTTTAATTGAAACGATCCAATTGATTTTTTTTCAAAAATAATCTAATTACCTTCATGCATTTCGCAAATGAAGGTAATTAGAAACCTAAACCGCTGGTTTAGGTTTCTACCCCAAAGCAGAGTCGGCCACCACCAAGTTTCTTCGCGCCTTCACAGTAGCGTAACACCATGTTTGCTTCATTGCTTGCTTCTGTATCGTCAAAACCGGCTGCCATCCATTGTCTGTTGCAATTTGACGGAAAATGGGGCGGTCATGGTGGCTTCTCCTACACACATGCATATGAGATCGACATTCCGCTTCAGTCATCATTCACTGATTTGTTGGAGGTCATTCGTGATACGGTACCATCCTCTTATGAAAATTCAGTTTTTAAGATTTCACATATGTCTGATTCATGCTCGACTCATGTTGTGATTGATGATGATACGAGCCTTTATGCATACATTCGGTTGAAGAGCATTCACTGTGGTACACGTGAATTCCCTTTGTGTGTTGAAATAGGTAATTCTTCTGAAACTGTCGCTCCTAAAGGAGGTTTAGTCCTTTCGGAGTTACATCAACCTCTTCTTTGTCATCATTCCGTCTCCAATTCAAGCGGCTGCGAAGATACAGAATCAGATGGCTCTCTCTCTGATTTTGGAGCAAACCAAACCTTGTGCATTTGGGATGAAGGCGTTATACCATCACAAATGCGATTTCCGCCCGGGTTTGTACTCGACACATTTCGTGGAGATGAAATTCCTGAGAATAACGTCCAAACCAACGACCTTGATTGCAGGAACTACCTTCAATCCAACCCGTCTGGTTATGTAATGTCTCAGCAGGACATTGCCACAATGAAGGAGATGCACGTTACATCTCGGTTCGATCCTACTAGAATTGTTGTTGATGCCATTTATGCCAGCAAAAAGGATCTTGATATCCATTTGAAGATGTTAGCAATTTCTAACCAGTTCCAGTACCGGATTCGAACATCCAAAAAATCCTGTCTTCATGTTGTCTGTGTGGATTTTCCTCGTTGCACATGGGCTGTTCGGGCCGTGCGTTTACCAGGTGTTGAGATGTTCCAGATTCGTAGGTGCGTTCTGCCTCCATTTTAAATCCTTTTGCATTTGGTTTCTATATTGTCTATATGATGTGTAATGATTTCCAGTCATTAATGCCCTTTTACAGCATAATCAGGTCATTATGATCACTTATGTCACAAACTTCAGCCTTTTTACTGATTACGAATGACGTTATAAGTCAGTAACCAATCCATGTTAATTAATCAAAAAATGCTTTCTGTTAATGCTTTAATCTGATTACGTCCTAATTAGGACATTATGTTTTATTATTTATCAAACCTTACCTCTTTTATAGACCAATCAGGACATTATGATCACTTTGGTAACATAAATTACCTATTTTACTGACTTCGAATGAAATCATAGATCCGTTTCCATTCTCCGGTTATGACTGCGAAAATTCCTATCTGCTTAATGCCTTATTCTGATTACGTCCTTATCAGGGCATTATGTTTGCTTTACGTATTGAACATCAGCTTTCTACAGACTTATCAGGACATTATGATCTTCTAGGTAACAAACTTTAGGTTTTTACAGACTTTGAACGACCCCATAGGTCTACTCCCAATCCATGTTAATGACTTAAAAATGCTTCATGTTAATGCCTATATCTGTTAATGCCGTAACATGCCACTGCCTTATTCAGGACATTATGTTCTTTTATGAACCAAACATCACCTACTAACAAAGTAATACATGTTCTTACCCTCACAAATTCTGCATGTTAATGATATCATTCATGTGTTTTTCCCTCTAGGTACAACCGTGAACATCAATGCCCCATCGATGCGCGCCAAGGCAAAACACGTCAAGCTACGTATCACATTATTGCAGAGCTTGTTAAACACAAATTTTGTGATGCAACAACGAAGCCGTACCCCCCCAAATCTATTCTTTCCGACATGCGTAGGGAGCATGGAATTGAAATGACTTATAAGAAGGCTTGGTTTGCTAAAGAGAAGGCTCTGGAAATTTGTTTTGGGACAGTTCAAAAATCATATGCTGCCTTGCCATCCATGTGTTTTATGCTCAATCATGCTAATCCCGGTTCTCTGATTCAGCTCACTACTACGCCTGACCACTTGTTCAAGTATTTTTTCATCTCTCTTGCACCCTGGAGAGAAGGCTGGCCCCATTGTGTTCCAGTGCTAATTATTGATGGATCATTTATGAAATCCTATTACAAAGGGACACTTTTAACTGCAGTTACGCGGGATGGGAATAACCAAATATTCCCACTAGCTTTTGGTGTGTGTGATGCCGAGAATGATGCAAATTGGCACTGGTTTCTATCAAGAGTTAAGCTAGCTCTCAAACACCGTCCTGTGGAATATATTGTCTCAGACAGGCATGATGGAATTA